GCTTTAGCTGCTTGCATCTGTATTTTGCACTTCATTGTCCTGCCAGTGAGTCTGGTTATCAACTGCTGTACTAGACTATAATCTCAGTTGGCATCAATTGTGATTTTCAAATTGTTTATCTCAGATTCTCCTTCTCCCACTGCTGCAAGAACACTGACGCTGGTCGCCAAGTCTGTGCAGAATTTGGCAAATTTAGTTGAGTTTGGAGCTAAGGTAAATATAAATCTTAGAAGTTAATTTCCCCCCCACACGTGTTCTTTGCTCTCAGTGAAAGAACATGTGTAATCATGCCCCCTCTGCCTGTACAAGTCAGTATGAGTCTGGAATGACAGGAGGGGCTATAGCAGAGTGCGCACAAGAGATCCTAAATTCACTCCTTGGCATTACCACTGAAAAGGATCTTTGGTAGCTAGGCAGGAAAGAGACTGCTTGAGACCCTGTTAGTTGGAGTTAACAGGACTGGACTAAGTAAACCATTGACTGACTTAGTATGGAAGAGCTTCATTTGTTCACATAGAATAGGCTCCCTTTCAATACAACAGGACAGTAGAGTCAGCTTTGTATATAGTACATAATATTGTCGGTACAGACAGCAGCATTTAGAAAGAGCATTTAAAACTCTCAAGTTATCTCCATTCTTAGCAAGGTGTTTGAGAGAGGCTACCGCAGCTCGTTTAAATATCAGTTTTTGTTCTTTCCGTATGTGGTTGCTCTTCTTCATCCTGACTGGTCAGAGAAAAGCCACAGCCATCAAGGAGATTGTGGAAATAATGTGTTAGGGTGACAATTGTGCAATAGTTCAGCAGTAACATCCAGGCTTGACTGTTGGAAGATGCTCTTCAATGGACTTTACTTGAAGATGACATGGAAGTAGGTGCAAAATGCCACACCTTGCCTTGGTCAGCAGTAACATAGTGCAGCTAGTGCAAATACAGTTACAAATACAAATAAACTAATTGCCAGTTTGCTTCCATGCCCAATTTAAAATCCTGATTTTTAACCTTGAAGGCCTTGCATAGCCTGAAGTCTTTCTACCTTAAGGCCCATTTCTCCTCAATTGAAACGACTCACCAGTAGGGGCAGACTGGCTTCTCTTGTCTGCTTTTCCTCCAGGACAGATTTTTAAGGTGATGCCAGGGTTAGGGTCCTTTCTGCTATCATCTCAAAACTTTGGAACCTCCTCCTAAAAAAGGTTAGGACTGGTGTAGCCAGTGTGGTTTGCTCTATATACTATTGGACTGTAACTTCCACCAGCCTCAGCCAACATGGTCAATGATCTGTAGGGCACTCCATGCTGGCTATCCCAGGGTTAGGAAGATATCAACATTGTCATCAGTTTATAAAAGCTGTAAAACATCCTTTGTCAGATCTTTAAAAGGATTTAAATTTTCTGTAGCAGCTTTATCTTATGTGACGCTTTTTATTGTGGTTTTCCATGGTGTCTAAATTATATTTGTGTTTTAGCATACACCAACTTGAGCACTGTGGAAAGTGGTGTAAAATACATTAAGAATAATTCAGAAGCCATCACAAAGTGATACAAATTTTATGGTTTTATTTTAGGAGCCATATATGGAAGGTGTAAATCCTTTTATCAAGAGTAACAAGCACCAGATGATCATGTTCTTAGATGAACTTGGGGTAAGAACACTTTTTCTTTCTTAATTTTGTAAATATAGAGACTGTAAGTATCTGCTTCAGAAAATACAGGGGGAGGACCCTGTTAAAAAGAGGGCTTTGGGAACCATATCTCAACCATTTCTGGACCAGGATTTAAGGTGGCTTCCACAAATAAAGCAGACAGATATCAGTGTAAAAAATCTAATAAAATTGAAACAATATAAAAAACAAATCTATTAAAATACAGATAATTAGCACAGCACTATTAAAAAGCCCTTTCCTAGAGAAACAGATAAAACAGTCTTTACCTGCTGGTGGAAGGAGCCAGTATGTATCTCTCTAGGGAGTTCCAAAGTCTAGAAGCAGCCACTGAGAAGGGCTTCCCATGTATGCCTATGTTGGTGGCAGGACTGAGAGAATGGCCTGCCCAAAGATCTCAGAGCAGAGACAGGAGGTATGGCTCCACTCCTTTCTCCAATGTTTGTCAAGGAGAAACATCTGGAGTACCTGTAACCTGCCAGATGTTGCTTGGCTGCAGCTCCCTTCAACCCTGCTCATTAGCCATGCTGGCTGGGGTTGATAGAAACTGTAGTCCAACCAAGCCTGGATGTTGCTCATCCTTGCCACTGAGCTATAATAGCTAACCAAAAACTAGTTCATTTCTCAAGTAAGCATAGCTGGGCCTCACTTCTCTCTATGCTTAAGAAGCTATACTCCTGCTTTACTGGAAATTGCAGGCATACTCCCCTATACCTTGCAAGCCAAAACTGACAGGTGGGTGGAGCCATGAAGATGTCAGGTGATAATCATCAACGCATCATGCAGGACTTGCAAAGTTCAGTTTTATTTTCACCTATGGACTACTTGTGTATTTGAAACAAGCATTCCCATTGCTCTTTAGGTGTTATATTCCCTGCAAGCAGAGTAGTAGTGGCTGCACTCCTTCTCTGAATGGTAAACAGTGTAAGTTTTTTTCAGCTACCATGGTACTGTTTTATAAAAGGTGGTTCTAAACATTATCATTCTTGCTCTAGAATGTACCTGAACTTCCAGACACTACAGAGCCCTCTAGAACTGACTTGTCACGTGATCTAGCAGCCCTCCATGAAATTTGTGTGGCACATTCAGATGAGCTTCGAACACTCAGTAATGAGCGAGGGGCAATGCAGGTAAGAGCTGTTATAGAAAGAGGGTTTTCCTGATAGTTACAGCAGCGTTGGTTTAACCTGCAGCCCTCCCTATGCTGCTGGATTATAGCTCCCATCATCTCTTGACTATTGGCCATGCTGACTGGGGCTCATGGAGTCCAACATTATCTAGAGGGCCCTGAGGACTTATAAACACTAAAATATAGGGCTGCAGTTGAATGCACAAAGTGTGAATGTATGTTAAGGATGCAATCAAAGTGCTAGACATGAAGGAGCTACTTTGAAACAGTTTAGTAGAAAAGTAATTGCAGTGGTGGTGCATTTTGAGTGCAATTATTCCAATTATTATTTATGCATAAGTTATGCTGCCTGACCTACTTATTTAAATGTTTACATAATAGCAAACAGTAACTAGTTTTCCTTGGATTCATTAAAAGCTATAGAGCCAGTTCCAGCATGGTAAAATTAACACATTTTACTATTCAGTAACTCCTAAGTCCTGTAGCCCAGTTGAATAGCTAAATATGTTAATAGTTAATTAACATATTTAGCTATTCAGCTGGGCTACAGGACTTAGGATTTCCTTTCCATAGATGCAATTCATAAGGACAAAGGGGGGAAATAAAATAAGTTTACATTTCAAGAAAAATCTATGAACCAATCTGGAACAAGTATAGTTATTTTAAATCTTACAGATAAATTTTGCTGCTGTGCTAATTATCTCCCTTTTTAAAACAGCATGTGCTAAAGAAGCTGCTGGCAATTACAGAACTTCTTCAACAAAAGCAAAATCAGTATTCAGTGTCTAACAGCATCAGGTAGCAGCTTTCTGCATGTTCCAGCATGTCCAACATGACAACTTTCACCAATATCACTTCCTTTTTTGCTCTTGCCAAAAATAGCACACACATTTCACATTTCCAGTGATGTGTGAACTATGCAAAAAACAAAACAAAGAACCTGTTGGTGACTGACCATAACAACAGCTTTAAGCTATGTGTGCAGGACACTTGCACTTTCTTCCACTTGGAACCAATTTTCACAACCTCTGAGCCTTGGTGTACAGATCACCTTCCACAAAGAAAATACTGTGACTGTCTCTTTGAACTTTATAAAGTTATTTCAACACCTCCAATTGCCAAAGTCTTGCTGTGTTTTGGATAAAATTAGAGTCAACTGCCAAGGAAATGTTTTGACAGCAAAGTATAACTGGATAGATCACACGTCTTACTGTAATTTGATTGGTTACAACTATATTAGGACTGTTCAAACACTTTAATTTGTATTTACAGCTTCCAGAGTTTGATAGGAAATCTTTGCTGTACACTTTTTATACCATTCTATTTCTCTTGTTTAGAGTTGTGCTGAAAGAATATGCAGACTGGATTTTGTCAGCTTTTTTTTTTTTAATGTGCCACATTTTTTTGAATAATTTTCCATCAAGGACTGTATATCCAGATAAATCATGATGCTTTTTAAAAAAATGTTTACAACAGTAAATAATTTGAACTCAGTAAATTTATTGATCATTGTATTAGGCATGCATGCATTATTAAACAGTTTTATAGCATACATCTGGCTGCTTTTTCTGCCTAGTGATTCAATATTTGGATATTTCCAAAGAAGAAAAATACAGTGCCTCTAGGTGATTAGAAAACAATTTGTCTTGCCTGCATTTTCCTATTTTTTGTTTGGTCAGTGATCAGTTCTGATCCAGTCTCAGTGCTCGTAAGTATGAACAATAAAGCTCTTTTTTGTGTGGAAAGGAAGAGGCTAGAATAAGATCCCCCAACCTAACCCACCCTGTCAACAAACCAAACCTCTTCAGGGGTTAAGCCTGTTACATACAATGCGAAAACAGCACTAGCAGGAGGAACCCATGAAGCAAGTACTCTACTGTCCCCCGATGTTCTTTTCTGCCAAAGGCTGAGCCCAGGATTAAGCCAGTAGTACCTTCAACAGACCCAAGGATGAACTATTGCCACCTGAAAGTTTGTTTTCCTAATCACCACAAATATCAGAAACTAGTGCATTTCAAAAAAATTCCAATGTATCTCAAGTAATACCTATGAATATGTGGTGCTTATATTTTAGATATTTTGACATTGCTTTTCAGCTTTGGGCTGGTATCCAAAACACGCTACCAGAAAACAGGTTACAGCCAATTAAAATCCAAAAGAACAGTGACAGTTTTTAGCAATACCATTTTAAGTAATTTCAAATATTCCACTGACACTGTAAAATAACTGCTTTATTTACATTTGTCATATTTTTTCACTGCAGTAGTGGAATGTGCAACATGTTCTCAGGCATCAAAGTTCCATTTAAGTATTCAGGATTTCATCAGTGGAGACATCCAGTCAGTCAATGAAATCATCATCTGTCCATTCATCCTAAACGAAAGAAAAAGGAACTCCAATCCTTTAACTTGTTAGAAGATGGTGCAGAAAAACAAAACCCACCCTATGAATCAAGTATGGCTGATGGGAAAATTAACAACTGCAAAATAACGAATATACAATCTCAGCTTCTATGCTTGCCTTTATTGAGGATTAAGGTCCTCTTTGATGTAAGGCAGAAAACAAATAAAACAATGTTTAGAAGAAAGTATCAACCTAGTTTAGCGTTATCTGGTGACTCCTAAAACATTCAGCTGCCTGTTGTATGAATAGCAGATGATATAAGATTATGTACTTTTTTAAAAAAAACAACCCAGCCCAATCCTATGAAAATGGACTGTTTGCTGTAGTGTAAGCAGCGACTTCCACAAATTAAGCTAAACCTTGATCACTGCATTTGACAGGTTAGAGGTTAGTGAAACATTTCTGCATCACCCTTTATTGTGCCCATGAACCAAATAAGTCTTTACAGGATCCTAAGTCTTAAACAGCACTATCAGTACAGTGCTGTGTTGCGGTCAAGGAAGTACAGTAGTACTGATGAACCACCAAGGCTACTTATCAACTCTGTCAGTGATACAATCTTTACTCCGGTTCCTATGAACCAGCAAGGCAGGTAACTGGATTTGGCCAACTGTGGATAAGGGGAATAAAAGTAGAAGATTCTGCTGGTTAATTGATTAGATTTTCATAATAATATTAAAATAGATTAAAGTGTGCTCCCTGTTAATTGGCATTATCTTAAATTTGCATATAGAACTAAGTTTTATGTTCTCAAACATATACAGATTTATCCAGTTACTCAAAGTACACAAATCCACTAACCTCCTCCATTTTTGGTTTCTTTGTTACGTAGTCTTCATCTTCATAACCTTTTCTCTTCTTTCTAAAACCAACCCCATAATACTAATATTAGATAGTATGTTCCAGTTCCAATAAGAAGATCTTTTCTTCAACTTCATATTTTATATTGGATAAATTGGTATGACATCTAATAAACGATTGAAACCTTTTACTGGTATTTGAAGTGAACTGACTATACAGCACTAGAGGCTCCTTAGAGCTATTGATAAAACACTGTTTTACAAGAACCAAGTCTTGCAGCTTCTTAAACAGATTATATTCAGTTGTTTCATATATATCCATATGCTGTAGAATAAAATTCTGAACAGTGAGGTCAGATGAAAAATGTTCAGCATGCCACATTAGTGACAGTTACATTAAAGCTTACGTTATGGAAAACAAACACAGTGAATACAACTAAACTTTGCAGGCTCTTCCCCCCTTTCATTTCCCACTGACCTCGTGGTTCACATTTGTTCTCCACACCCATGGATATATGTTGTAACTTATGATGAAATGAACTTCAGGTATGGGCAATAGCTATAGCTATGATCCAAACAGGTGCTCTTCCACTCACAGATGTGCTAACTTAGATCCAGTGGAAGAGTGCTGCATGAATAACTCCAAATCCAGTGAAGTTCTATTTATATAAGACTTTGCACAAATGCATTCAATACTTTGTTCAACTGGAATTTATATGCTATTTGCAGTCTACTATACTGCAATCCAGCCCCCAATACATTGCAAGAAGTCATCTGCTAGCTTCCAAAAGAGCTTGTGGAACAGCATTATGTATTTTTTCTATTGCTACTTTCCCCCCCTTTCACCCACATTTCTTTGAATCCAAGTCAATACTTGTCTGAGAAGAAATTACTGACCAATGACTGGAACAGACCCTGGCTTCAAATCTCTGATAAAGTAAGATTATATCATAACATTTGCACAGGATTTCCTGGTAATCAAATTTTTCAAAATTAGCTTATTGGTCCTCATACAGTATATGCTGTCATAATCATTTTTAGGAAAGCTAGCACTGAGGTACGATGTAGCTTTAAATTGTTACTTACACATTTGTATTAAGAGCAAGTTCTGGGCTGTGGCATTTCTCTAACTTCTGTTTCAGAAGAGCAACTCCTTCTGGATGCGGTAGCTCATATTTCTTTACCAGATTTTTCATGCCTACAAAGGAGCAATAAAACACTTTCAAAACGCTTTAATTAAGTGTACTATATACCAATTAATCTGAACCCCAATAAGATATGTACATTATCAAAAGTAGATCCAAATGAATTCTAGTGATATAGGTAGCCTAATCACACTCTCATCTTCACACTCAAACCCAACTGATTAGATATGGCACATTCCAACTAGTTTTGATTCTACAGACCTGGCTATAAAGCTTTGTGTGTGTATGTAAGGTTACAGCACAACAGGGAATGTTTATGATCTAATTGCTGTGAGTTGTACATGAAGCTGAGGAACACTTTAGCCAAGCTATAGTATATTTTGACCAGTTGTAGCCATGAACACACAGGATTAATTGTGCAAAAGGTGTGTTGGGGAGGGGGGCATTCTAACAAAAAGTACACCCAGCTCTCAAAAAGCCAGACTACAGTGTAAAATACTTTGCAGATTTTCTATGAAAAGCAAGTCCTCTTGTAGAACAAGTGTTAAAGACAATTGAGATGTGCTCCAGATTTCTTTGAAATAAGTTCCACAAACAAAGTCTTAGCTTAAATTTGCCACATAACACTATTTCCCCCTTTACAGAAGCTCAGATTACATTTGTAAGACTCTTAGCTGTCATCTTATATCAGAGGATTTATGCTAAGGAATGTCAAGACACAGCAAAAGTGTGCAGTAAAGAACTCTACTAAACTAGTTGTTCACATTATGGTGTTTTTTTTTTTCCTGGAGGCTAATGGATAATGCAGTGTTAGCACTACTGTCCCAGGGAAACCTTCAGACGCAGGCACATTTTGCATTCAAGTCTTCAAAATACAGATCAACTGAAGGCTGTGTTGTGTTTGATGAAAGCATAAAAGCAGTATCAAGGACAGTCTTGCAAGCACCAGTCACCTGAAAGATTATCAAGGAAGAAGTTATCAAATATCCCCTTTTACTTGCTTATGCTAAAGACAGCTACCAAGTTTTGTTCTTCATTTGAAACATTCCCCTTGCTTTGCTGAAAATTCTGGTCTCATTTGACCTAGAAGACATTGTATTGCATCCATCACTATCTCCATTCACTATCTTTGATCCAGAGGGGCTTCCATAAATGGAATGTGGATGGAGACAATTTTTGCATATTTTCCCATTCCTGCGCCAGCACTCAAGTTGTTCCAGAGAATCCCCAAACCCCCTAGAGCAGATTTTAGAGGCTCACGGGAGAGGGATGAAACAGTGAAGATTGCTGATTGGCAATGGGAATGAGTCTTCAAAGGATGCAAAGGATGTTGCTGTAACCCAACAGTCAGCTGATTGGTGGTTACAGCAATCTCCTTTGAAGTTAAGAGTCTGTTTTACAAGCAGTGGGGATACAATTGTGCTAAGAAAAGAATAGGCAATGGCTCTCCGTGTTTTTTTTGGACTCCAACTCACATTTAGCCCCAACCAACATGGTCACTGTTCAGGAATAATGAGTCTCATATTCCAGCAACATGGAGGGTCACTAGTTCACATCCCTGAACTAAGCCATATTTCTTTTCTCCTGTCACTTCATACCATTTCTGGGAGAGTAGAAGGGACAAGAATGCCCATTTAAGTTCCTTTTTATTAACATTGGATACAAGTTTAAATATGTGTCCCAATTATTCAGAAATTTTTTTTAAAAAAAAATCTTTCAAATGGATAAAGGCTTTTGCAAGCCTCTTCCATTCTTTTAAAGAATACTTTAAAATAAATATGTGTATGGTACCTCATTCTCAGAATCTTTACTTACATTTCATCCCATCCAGTAACTGGGAGATGGAAGCTTTGTTCTCTTTCAGCATTAAGCATTCTGACAGGTAACTGTCAAAAGATTGTGAAAATTAGATCTCAGTACCACTGTTTGGATGCAGAGAAAAGTGAACAGCTATGAAGAACACTTACATTAACATACACCCCATAAAGAGAATGACATTTAGCTAAATGTTAGGTGATGGGAAGGAATTTTTCAAAATACATTAAAAAAACAAAAACTTAGCACGCATTATAAAGGGTAACAATACAAAGCCAATGTCAAAAATGCTAAAAGTTAAATTAATGATGATTAGAATACTCTACAGCAATTTCTTTCATTCTCAAAAACCCCCACACCCCTCCAAGAATCAAAGATAACCTTCCAAAAGCAAAACAATGGTATTCTAACATGAAGTAGTAATCTGGAAACATGAGCTTCTTTTGATAGTGTAAGATAGATGTTTTAAAAAGCTGTAAAAGTAACCATTTTATAGGCAGCTGACATATGACAAGTTGAAGGAACAAAAGATTTAGGGTTGTATGCAACTAAATCATTGTGTGCAGATAATAGACTTCCACAATTGACAGGGAAGGTTTCCCCTCTACCCCCACCCTCTCTGTGCGAGAGAGTTGGGGGAACCCCCAGAGCAGGTTTGTGGGTGCACCGGGGGGCGGGGAGAGACAAGAAACATTTCACTATACTCACATACATAGAATCATAGAGTTGGAAGGGACCCCAAGGACCATCTAGTCCAAACCCCTGCAATGCATCATTCCACAGAGTCATTTAGTTGATACAACCTTTATTGCTTGGCGGGGGGACCCAACATAGTAATTTAAATAGTGAAATGGTAGGATTCAGTAAGCTATTTTCCTTCCCTCCGCCACACATTTACAGGTTAAGCAGCTGATCAGGTTGGCCACCAGTGTTTGAATCTGTGTGGACGATTCTTGAACAATAAACTCTTAATCCACGTTGACGCAAAGTCTTAACAACACCACAGATAGAGCTTTGGAAGGATGTACAGCGTTAGCACAAAAACCTACTAACTTAATTTGTATGTCCAATGCTTGGAATATTATCTACCTTTCCATATTAATTCCTGCCCTCGATGCGCTGGACAAGATGGCAGTGAGAGCAATCTGAGACGGTGTATAAAGAAGGCAGGCATCTGTTAAAGCAACCCGATTGAGAAAGTCATCAGCAGTCTTCCTCAGTGTCTCAGGATTCTCAAGCAACGGGTAACGAGTCTAGAAAAATATGCAGAATTGCAAAGTTCATTTTTCTAGTTCAAGTATTTTAGCGTCAAACAGGCATGCTGGGATACTTAAGAACTAATCTGCTCTAGTACAGTGCTTAGTACTATTAATGCTTCAACATTTTACAATAGTTACCATCTAAATGTACCATCTAAGGTACATTTTTTAAGCAACAGAAATGATTACCTTTAGATCGATCAAGAAGCCTTCAAATGGTCTGTAAGGGTTGTGCACTATGAGAGTGGAAGTTCAGTTGCTGTATAAGTAGCAGTTCATATTCCAAGATCTGTTCCAGGGCCTTTTCCTGTCCTACTGCACTTTCGCGAAGGTTGCCCACGAACTGTGTACTGGACACGTTAAATTCATCTACTTTACATGCCAAGAATGCACATGTTAACCTTAAAAATAAACAGCAAACACATTTGGTTCTAAGGAAGAGCATTATATATGAAGTTAGGAAGTATTTTGAACAGCCTAGCCTAAATACTAGGACACAAGAGAAAGCTCCCTCTAAGATAAAATCCAGCCCCAAAATCCTTAGAAAACTTTTAGAACTTGCAAACTATCAGCAAACATCCAAAGAAAAAAAGTGGACAGAGACAGTTTTATGGGGCAGTTGTTTTACCTCGAGCTGACCTGCATTGTATACTGGGGTAATAGAATGTCTCAAACAAAACCATGTGGGTTCTGTCAGAAGATAACTTTTGTCTGCTTCCCCATGTTACTTATTGCTGGAAAAGCCTGTGGTTTTTATCCTAACCCAATACATTAATTTTTTTTTAAAAAAAGAATCTGGCATAGAAAGCTTTGGGGAAAATGTGTGGTCAAATGTCCCAAAATAAAGCTATGTGTGATG